GGGCTGTTTTGGGGACACGGAGCTCCCCGGGGGCTGTTTTGGGGACACGGAGCCCCCCGGGGGCTGTTTTGGGGACACTGATCTCCCCGGGGGCTGTTTTGGGACACTGATCTCCTCGGGGGCTGTTTTGGGGACACGGAGCTCCCCGGGGGCTGTTTTGGGGACACAGATCTCCCCCGGGCTGTTTTGGGGACACGGAGCCCCCCGGGGCCGGTGTTTGGGGTGCCAGGGGCTGCGGCAGATGGGGATCTCTGGCAGGGGGGGGTCTGTGGCAGTCGGGGGGCTGCGACAAGGGGATGCCACCCTGTCCCCTGACGCGGTGCCCTCGCCCCCGGTGCCGCAGCGTGGAGCACGATTTCCGACAGCAGGAAGGTCGTTTCCAGAGGGTGCTGAGCCACATCCAGGGCGACACGGGGCCCAGCTCCCCCCCGGCGGCGCTGGGGGTGACAGGGACGGCGGCGGGGACCCCCTCACCGCCCACGCAGGAGCCGTCACCCGTGGGCAGGCTGCCGGCAAAGCTGGACGTGAAGAAATCCCGGCGCAAATGCTTCTGGTTCCTGTGAGCCCGGGGGCACCGTGCCAGCACTGACCCCCCCTGCCCACCTCTCCTCCCTGCCACCGTAGGGTTTGGGTAGCACCAGCTTTTCTATTTTGAAGCATTCAGTCGAACGCGGGGGAGCTCGGGGGTGGAAAAGGCGAGGGGAGCGGCGGTTGTATTTAAGGAGAATTCAATAAATTCCAAGGAGACGCTATTTTTGTTACACCCTCTCCCGCCTGTGCACTTCTGTTCTGGAGGAGGATGAGAATGAGGAGGGGGCAGCGGTTGTTTCCTTGGGTTTCCCTCTGGTTTAGGTGCCCCAGCCCACCCCAGACTCAAATCGGTGCCCGTCCCTGCACCCCCACAGCGGGCACTGCCCACCAATCCCTCCCCTTGCTTCCTGCAGATTAATTGGGAACACCGAGGATTTCCACAGCGGGGAATGATCTCTGTGGGACTGTGGCCTGGAGAGAGGAGACCTGTCCCCAAAACCCCCGGCTGGAAGGGTGGGCAGGGGTCTCATGGGTGGGATGTGTCCCAGCATGGCTCCTTCAAGGGCTGGTGGCACTGGGGCGGTGACACGGGAATGGAGCCTGATCCAGAGCTGGAGTCAGAGCAATGTGCTCCTGCATAAATATGGGATTTGGGATCTCTGTTGAAGGGAATGAGGAGCTCAAATATCCCAGACTCTGCGCGGCTGCCACGGGAGGGGAAACTCGGCATCGGGATCCCAAAAGCAGCAGCGGGACACCCTGAGGAGCGGCGGGAGCAGCCACAGCGGTGCCAGCAGGGCCACCACTTCAGGAAGAAAGGAGGACATCACCCATCCTCCCCCAAAAACACCGCCCACGGCGAGGGGGCAGCTTCGGCCGCAGAGGGGAACGGAGGGTGGGCAGCTTCGGCCGCAGCTCCCCGGCTGGTGGCCACAGTGTTTAATTTCAACCCCGTCCCGTATGCCAGGGACACCCCTGGGGACACCCCTGGGGACACCTCGGGGGCTGCAGCTGGGACGGTGGCCCAGGGGCACCACTCCCTTGTCGCCCAGCAGCGCCGGGATGGATGGAGGGACGCTTATCCCGCTGCGGGCGCGGCGATTTTTGGTTCTCCCAACCCATCCCAGGGGCTGGAGGGTCTGGGACCCCCGGCTGAGGGCAGGGGCAGCGGCACGGGCACCACGGGCGGTGCGGGGAGAGCTGCCAGGGGGCACCTGAGGAGCCACGAGCGAGCAGAAATCCCTCTTGGAGCATCACCCTCATCCCCCCCTCGCCTCCATCGCTGCCCGCCGCTGGCGGCCCTGAGTCACAGAGGCTGGGAAGGAGGGAGAAAAGCAGGATGGAGCCCAGCGCGACCCCGCATGCATCTCCTGCCTGAGTCACGGCTGAATCACAGCCCGGCGCCGGGACCGCGGCGCGGCTCCGGTTGCCCGCAGCGCCCCGGGCACGGCACGGCACGGCACGGCACGGCAATTCCCCGCTCCGAGCTTCCACCACGCGCACCAAACACGGCTCATGGCCCACCCTAAGACGCAGTGCGGCTCCTGGGTTTGTCACCGCGTCCCCAAGGAAGAGCCCGAGTCCCCGCTGGCCGCGGCTCCGTCCCCTCCCATCGCTGCCCCGCCTCCCTTCGCGTGTGCCCGGCGTGCTGCTCACGCGTTTTTGGCGTGGAAAACCGCGACGCTTCACATGGTTCAGCTGCTTGTTTCCCAAATAATGCGGCTCAAACCCTTCACGGATCCCCAAACTCACTCACCCCGACTCTCCGGCTGCTCCAGCCCTGCTCCCAGCCCGGCTCCTGCTGCTCCCTGCATCCCACCGGGCACATCCCCGGCATCCATCCCCATCCTGCTGGGTTCTGGCAGCAGAGCCAGCGAGGACCAGAGCCAGTCACACACACCCAGCCCCCCCAAAGCAGGGACAGCCCTCCCGTGTGACCCGAAGGGAAGCGGCGCGGCGGGACTCACCCTCAGCGGGTTCTCCCGGTCCAGCACGATCACCCTGCGGTTGACCGTGTGGAGCAGCTGCTCCAGAACCACCTGGATGTGCTTCTTCACCCGGGCCTGCAAGATAAGAGGTGGCAGGGCCGTGGCAGGGCACGTCCCAGCTGTGGGATGTGTCCCAGCGTGGCTCCTTCAAGGGCTGGTGGCACTGGGGTGGTGACACGGGAATGGAGCCTGATCCAGAGCAGGGCAATGTGCTCCTGCATAAATATGGGATTTGGGATCTCTGTACGCCTCTCTGGCACAGTGGCCACCTGGCTGGGGACAATGGGGACAGCCAAGGATGGCTGAGGATGATGGGGATGGCACTGGGCAGGTAGAGGTGGGTTCAACTCTCATGGGGTTGAAGCAAGAGCAGAATCCTCCCCCCAGAACATCCCACCACGCTCTCTGTAAAGGCTACTCCAGGTTTAAAAGTTAATGAGACATTTCTCCACAATTTCTGAGCTTTCCATCCCATTCCTGGGCTTCCTGGTGCTGTGGGGATTAAAGAACCACCTCACCCTCCCAGGACACCGTGTCCAGCTCAGCTCCCCCAGCGCCGGGCACTGCACTGCAGGTGGGACCCCTGAACCTCCCAAAGCCCCCAGAAGGGACCCCTGAGCATCCAGGAAGGGCAGGAACAGGGAGGAAGGCTCCTGAAACGCCCTGTGCGTTCCCAAAATGTTGTGCTGCTGCAGGGACACTCACCAGCTCCACGTCCCCGCGGTCCTTGTGGCGCGCTCGCAGCTTCTCTGCGCTCTGCAATCACCAGAAACAGAGATGAGACCCCCAGGAATGGCCCCAGCCCATCCCAGACTGGTCACATTTGGGTGGGTGGGTGCCCACCATGTCCCTGCCTCGTGTTTGGAGCCGTCACTCTTCCTTTTGGAGTGTGATACTGCCCAGGGGCTGACTGGCAATCAGTGCCCAGCAGGATTTCATATGAGGTATAAGGCCATTGAAACTTTAATTACACTTGGCCTGTCCCAAAATAGAATTGGGAAAAGACGAAAAGAAAAAGTACCTTGAATCAGAAAGGAAACCAAAGAATAATGTTAAACTAAATCAGATATCATACTTGTGCCTTATTACTTCGTTGTTTGCCTTAAGTAACGTGATCCTGCCCGTGAGTCGAACCAAAAAACCAATGTTTGAGTGACCTTGGCCAATGCATCAGGCTTGGACAACATTTCTTTGACTTATTCAAATCTAGAAAAGCCATTCTCAAGCTGCTTGGCCAGTTTGCCAGTAGACAATTGGCCAATACCACAAAATGTCTCTCCAGATCTTCCACGATTCGTTATCGATGTGCCCTCACCTTCCTCCCTCCCTCCACCTTCCTCCCAGCCCTGCAGAGCTGGTGATGTCCCCACCACCCTCAGGTCAGTGTCACCCCTGAGCTTGGAAGCCCCTTCCCCACTCATGTGGACATTGGACAACCCACCAGAAACTCGCTGAGGTGGAAATCACAAGCTTTGTGTCCCACCCTGCTGGGATGGTGACACCCACAGGCTGAACTCCAGCAAAATCCTGAGCAGGAACTGGTGCTCAACCCCACTGAGAGGGGTTTGGTCAGGTCACAGATTCCTGATTTACCTTCTGGGTCTGGTCCAGCACTTCCAGGATGCTGCTGAGCAGCTCAATGCAGGCGTCCTCCTCCTCCCCTGCCTGGATCAGCTCCTGCAGGATGGGCAGGGCCGCCTGCAGCACCAGCTCCCGGCACTCTGGGTGGGCACAGGGGGGCACGGCCGTGAGGGAATTGTCCCCAAATGGTGGGTGGGGTGATGCCACCCCGGCCATAAGGCAGAGGAGGGGGTCCCTGCCCAGGGGATCACCCCCAGCCTGTGCCACGGCCTCTGGGTGAGCTCGGCATGGGCAGTGCCCCCAGGACCCCTCTCACCGTGGCACTGGAAGGCTCTGCTGCTGGCAATGCCCCTCAGGGACTGCAGCTTCTGCTTCAGCAGCCGCTGGGGCAGCAGGTTCCCCACGAAGTCCCTCAGAATGGCCCTGCCATCAGGACAGCAGTTAAAGCAGGTTCTGCTCAGGATGGGGCTGATGGGGGGGGGGGACACCCCTGGATGGGGCAGGACAGTCCCACAGCGCAGCTGTGCCCACCACAGGCAGCCAGCACACAAAACCTGCCCAAATTCCCAAAATGAAGCCAGCTGGGGCTGAGTTCTCAGGCTCAGCCCTGCCCAAGCACAGGCAGCTGCTAAAACTGAGCAGAACTCTGCCATTTTTGCACCGGGAAGGGATCAGGAGGTGATGCCAGACCCCCCTGCCTGCCCTCGCCCTCAGGCCTGTGCTGGATGCAGGGACAGGGGTGGCTGGACGGGACACAGGGTGGGGACACAGGGACCCTACCCCAGAGTGGAGGAGTCAAAGATCCCAACCACGTCCTCGAGGATGGAGGGCAGATATTTCAGAGCTGCTCCCTGCAGAGACACCACCGAGCTGCCTTCAGACAGGTCTCCCAGAGCACCAGCCCCATCCCAGCCTGCACAGCTCTGCTCCCCTCTGTGCCAGCCCGGCCCCAAAACGCTGGGAATGAGGCCAGGCCAGATCCAGGATGGGGACAATCCCCAGGAACTTTTCCCCAGATTCTTCCTTTTTTTTCCCCAGATTTTCCAGAGTTTAGCACGTGGGTGGGCAGGACAGCTGCTGACCCAGATCCACGCCTCAGCCCCCAGGCAGCGAGGGGCTGGGGGTCTCAGGGTGCACAAGGGGGGACCCTGGGGACAAAAAATTCTGGGGATAGGGGCTTGGGGACCCTGGGGACAAGAAACTCTGGGGACAGGGGCTGGGGGTCTTAGGGTGAGTGAGGAGGGACCCTGGGGACAAAAACTCTGGGGACAGGGGCTGAGGAACCCTGGGGACAAGAAACTCTGGGGACAGGGGACTCTGGGGACAAGGGCGGGGGGTCTCAGGGTGCACGAGGGGGGACCCTGGGGACAAGAAACACTGGGGACAAGGGCGGGGGGTCTCAGGGTGCACGAGGGGGACCCTGGGCACAGCGAGGCAGCGCAGGGGGTGACAGCTCCTCCCGAGCTCTGCACACAGGATGGACAGGGTCACCCCAAAACCGAGCACAGACACAGTGGCACAGTGTCACCCCAGCTTGGGGACAGCCAGTGCCTGGCCTGGGCACCCTCCCTGCCATGGCACAGCAGAGCTGAGCCCTCCCATCCCCACCTGGGACAGCAGCGTGGGACCCTCCAGCGGGGACTCCATCAGCTGGGTCAGGGCGAGGAAGAATCTGTGCAGGGAGCGCTGGAACTCGGCCACCTCCTTCCCCTCGTAGAGCCTGCAGTGGCCAGAGTCACCGTGCTGTCACCACGCTGTCACCATGCCACACACCTTCCCTGGCATCCCCATTCACTCCACTCATCCATCAGCATTTGGATCTAGGGGGGAGCCCTGCCCTGGCACTACCCCACCATGTCCACAGAGAAAAAATCTCATTTTTTCTTTTTAAAAAAACCCACTTTTCCATGATTCTACAACCCAAAAACCATCTCTAAGCAGCTCAGCCCCATCCCACTTGAGCAGGAAGCTCCTGAGCCCTCCAGCCCCCCTCAGCAGCTGGAGAACAGCGAACCGAAGGAGGGAATTTTAACCATGGGATGTGCAAAACTGCAGGAAAAACTGCAAAGCTGAGGTGTGAGCACAGGAATGGTCACTGCTCGAGGTAATTCTCCTATCACTGGCACTGAGCAGCGGCAGGAAAAATTATCCAGCCAGCAGCTAGGAAAAAAAATCCTGGAATTTGGGCTGGGAGAGCCCTTGAAGCTCATTCAGTCCCAACCTTTGCCATGGGTTGCTCCAAGCCCTGTCCAACCTGGCCTGAAAATCTGAAAATCCAGGGGGGGCAACGAGCACTGGCAGGGAAAGTTTTGCCACCCTCGGTGGTGGCTAAAAAGGAGAAGCAGGCAGAGGAAGCAGCAAGGAGGAAGCAGCAAGGGACAGACAGATGTCACCACGGTGCCACTGGGGCGCAGAGGGGACACGGGGAGGTGGCCCAAGGGGGAGGACAGGGCTCAAGCATCCTCACAGCTCCTGCAGCAGCACAGGCAATCCCAGAGGCAGGACTCTTAATTACAACGCGATTCCTGTCGATTAGAGCCCGTACAAATTGCAGCACTTAGAGGATCTGAGGAGCCCCGCGCTGAGATAAAGGGAAGCTCCATCAAATCGCTAAATGCCCTCGGGGATGCTTCTGCTCCAGGCAAACTCATCCACGGGGGGCCACTTGCAAACAAGCTGGGTGATGGATTTCTCCTGCCAGCAGCACTCTGAGCTGGGAATCTGCTCACAGAGGAGGGAGAGACTGGCTGGGATGCTCTGGAGCACCTGGAGCCACGGGTGGGAGAGGCAAGGACAGACTGACTCAGATCTCGCTGTGAATAGAGTGGGGCAAAGCGAGGTGTGACAGTCCTGGGGGCAACACACCCTGGGTTTGGGGTGGTGGAGGAGGAAAAACCCTCATCCCCCCCAAAACCAGCTGTCTGCTGAACCGCAGTGCTTGGAACGGGGCGATCCCACTGCTCCTGGTGCCAGCCAGCGCCCACCCCGTGCCATGTGTGTTGGGGGGGTCCCTCCCTGCCCACCTCGCTGCTCCCTCAGGACACTTCAGCTTTTGGTGGAACGAAAGAGGAACGTCTGATAATGTCAGAGCTCCTGATTTCCTCCTCTCTCCCACGCCAGCTCGGAGGAGGGGTGTTTGTCCATCACCCCCACTGGGATGTGAAGGGGAACAAGTGAAACTTGGGGGGGCTCTGGAGGGACCTGGGGGCACCTTGACCTTGGAGATGTGGAGGAACCCAGCCCTTTCCTCTGCTCACAGCAGGATCACAGCAGGGCTGGGCTTGGAAGGCACCTCCAGCTCCAGCCACGGCACCCACCGGGCTCCAGGAAACCCTCCCAGCACTGTGCCAGCCTGGCACGGGCACAGAGTGCCCAGCACATTCGGTCACCTCCGTGGGATGGGGGGGATGACACCTCTGTGGGAGGATTTTAGGAACTCATTGGAAACTCCCTGTCAGGGGTCACTGTGGGGTGAGGTCACTGTGGGGTGAGGTCACTGTGGGTGAGGTCACTGTGGGACATTTGGGGTGGCTGGAGAGCTCTCCCACCCTGAGGTGGAAAGCCCTGCCCACCCCCACAGTGGGTCACCATTGTCCCGCAGCATCCAGAGGATGGCACAAAGCTGAAAACTTCCAAAATCCTCAAGGAGAGGATCCACAGCGATGGAAAAACCACTCTGGGGACCGGCCATGGCCGCAGCACGGCCGGGAGTGGTGGGTGCCACACTGGGTGCCCCAGCAGCACTGGGAGCACTGGGAGCACTGGGAGCACTGGGAGGCACTGGGAGCACTGGGAGGCACTGGGAGCACTGGGAGGCACTGGGAGGCACTGGGAGCACTGGGAGCACTGGAAGCACTGGGAGCACTGGGAGC